AGCCACCTACAACATCATATTCTCCTGATCTGAAGTTTCACATTTTTGCATATCCCATACTTAATTATGGAGTTGGTTTCATGGATGTAAATGGATAGGGTTTTTTTTTCCTGTTCTAGTTCATCTACTCTCATCCAGTCTTCCTTATCCCAACACACTTTAAGCTCTTTGTTTTCTTTTCCATTTGCATATGAACCTTAAGAATACTCTGAGTATGAAAATTCCCATAAAGTGTGAAGTACAAGGACCTGACACATGGCAAGCCTTTGGTAAACATATGCAATGCTTCTATCGTTATCCTAACATTCAGTACAGTGTCTGTGCCTAACCAGGCCTTCAGTAACTATTCATTAATCAGTGAATGACTAGATCAAAGATTCATTCATTGATGAAATGAATGAATACCATCATATACTGAATCTAAGGATCCATAGTCTTTCAAGACATATATACATGTGTGTGTGTGTGTGTGTGTGTGTGTGTGTGTGTTTCAAAATAGGATTTCTCTGTACAACAGAATTCGAGTTGTCCTGGAACTCTATTTGTAGACCAGGCTGGCCTTGAACTTTAAGAAATGTGCCTGCCTCTTCTTCCTGAGTGCTAGGATTAAAGGCATGTGCCATCACTGCCTGACAATTTATATTTATATATTTTTACTTCATGTGTATGAGTGGCTTCCTGCGTGTAGGTATGTGCAGCACATATATGAATGGTGTCCACAGAAACCAGAAAAGGATGCTGGCTCCTTTGGGCTGGAGTTACAGATGCTTGTGAGCTGCTAGGTGGGTACTAGGAGCCAAACATAGAATTTCTGCAAGAGCAGCAAGTGCTTTTAACAGCTGAGCTATCTATCAGGCCCCAGATTTATAACTTTTATATTGTCCATTTTTACAGACAAGGAAACTGAGACTTGTAGGGGTTAACTAACTTAGCCTGGGCCACTTAGCTGGAAAGTGATAGAACCAGGGCAGGAACTCCCCGATTCCCACTCAGGTAACTAGCCTCTCCCTACTGTGCTTCCCCACATGTATGTTCAAATCAAGAGTGCCTGTAAGGCTTCCCGAGGTTGTGGTTTCCCCTGTTGTGACCCTGGGACACAGGATGTGGAAAGGGCCCAGCAATGGGGATTGGAGTGCTGAAAGCCTCCCTTCTTTCCTCCCCTCTGGGCCTCTCATATTTCCTGTCCTAAACTCTGCTCTGATATTTTTCCCAAGGAACTAACAGCATGGTGTGTCCCTAAGGAGACAGTTTTGGGGCCAGGGAGCCAAGCCAGGGAGGTGACTCCATTACTAGCCGAGACAGGGGTCAGTGGACTCAGGGGCCCAGGAGAGTGGGTGTAAGAATGAGGAGATCTGCAGGAGACACGTGGTTGCCACTCTGCACTCCTCTGGGCGAAAATCAACAGAAGTTAGTGGTCCTCTTAGGAGCCCGACATGGTGGCGCAGAGGCAGGTGGAACTCTGTGAGATCAAGGTCAGCCTGGTCAACATTGACAGTTCCAGAACAGTCAGTGCTACACTGTGACACACACACACACACACACACACACACACACACACACACACTGCCACCATTGGGGGGAAAGTTCCCCACACAAAAATAGTCCTCATATTCCCTATTCTTAGGACAATTTTTGAGGTACAATAGTAGCAATAGTTAATGTTTACTAAATGTCATCTTTCAAAATCTCACAGTTTTATGAAATAGGCAATAAATATGTTGATTATTTTCTTTTTATTTCCCTCTTTCCTTCATTGACTTCCCTCCTTTCTTAAATAAGGAACCAAACCGAACCAAGTGGTATATACCTGCAGTCCCAAAAGGCTGACGGCCAGCCTCGGATACACAGTGACTCATAGAGCAGCCTGATCACATGGCAGCACCTACTTACCTACTTCTTGTTCAAGGCTAACTTTTTCTTAAGATTTATTTTATTGCTGGGCAGTGATGGCACACATCTTTACTCACAGCACTTGGGAGGCAGAGACAGGAGGATCTCTGTGAGTTCGAGGCCAGTCTGGTCTACAGAGTGAATTCCAGCACAGCCTCCAAAGCCACAGAGAAACCCTGTCTTGAACACCCCCCCAAAAAAGATTTATTTTATTTATTTAGTTAGTCTTTTTCGAGATAGGGTTTCTTTGTAGCTTTGGAGCCTGTCCTGGAACTCCCCCCTGTAGATTAGGCTGGCCTCAAACTCACAGAGATCCTCCTGTCTCTGCCTCCCAAGTGCTGGGAGTAAAGGCTTGCACCACTACCAACCGGCTTAAGATTTACTTTTGTTTATGCATATGTGTGTGTGCATGCACACTCATGTATATGCATTCACACATATGTGCAGGTACCCACAGAGGCCACAAGAGGGCTTCTGATTCCCTGGATCTGGAACCATAGGTACTTGTTACTACCTGATGTGGGTAACTGGGAACTGAACTCGGGTATTCTGCAAGGGCAGCAAGCACTCTAAACTGATGAGCCATTTCTGCAGCCCCTAAGGCCTATAATTGACAGAAGACAAAACTGAAGTTTGAAACTACGCAAGTTTTTGAACCCTTCAGAGCTGGATAACTATGGAGAGGAGAGTGTGAACTGTGATGTAGAATAAAACCCTGTGTTGTTTTTGTGTGCGTGTGGAAAGGGTATGCCTGTTTGCACATGAGCATCCAAACACACATGTACGTGTGTGTGTGTGTGTATGTGTGTGTGTGTGTACATGTCTGTTATGTGTATTCATGTAGAGGCTACAGGTTGATGTCTGGTGTCTTCCTTGGTCGCTCTCCAACTTATGTTTTGAGACAAAGTCTCTCGTATTGAACCTGGATCTCAAAGAAAGATTCAGCTAGGCTGGCTGGCCAGCAAGCTCCAGGGATCTGCTATCTCTACCTCTCCAGCACTTGACTTACAGATAGGTACTGCTGTACTCTGATTTCTATGTGGGTGCTGGGGATCAAAACTCAGGTCCTCATACTTATGTGATAAGTACTTTACCAATGAGCCATCTCCAGAGCCCCAGAAAGTTCTCTATTCTTTTTTTTTTTTTTAACTTTTTTGAGACAGGGTTTCTCTGCAGCTTTGGAGGCAGTCCTGGAACTAAGTCTTGTAATCCAGGCTGGTCTCAAACTCACAGAGATCCACCTGCCTCTGCCTCCCAAGTGCTGGGATTAAAAGCATGTGCTGCCACCGCTGGGATTAAAGGTGTGCGCCACCAACGCCCATCAAGAATTCAGTACATAAGTATGCAGCTTCCTGTGATCATGGTCAGATGTGGTGCTGGGGAGGAGAGTTCTCCAAAGAGGCTGTTGCTGTGACCTGATCTGAAGGCTGGGGTGAAAGGACTCTTGCCACGCCTGGTGGTCAGATTGGATCCCTAGAGTTGGATGAAGGGGCTTTAAAGTATGGGTTGTTCCCTTGAGAAAAAGAACTCCAGGGCAGGCTGGGATGGGAAAGAAAGCCTCAAGGGTAAGCAGCCAGAACTAAGACTACTCACTCAGTCCCTAGTCCTCCAACAGGAAGAGTTCTGTGACTCAGGTGATCCTCCGATGGGGCTAAGTCAAGGAGAACTTTCCAAGAAACAAGAGATTCACAACCCAGGAAATAAGTGCTTGCGGCCGCCAACGCCACCTGTGACCCCTTCATGCCGTCTCTCTGCCTGTGGGTTTGCAGCCACCTTATTCCTACACTGCTCTTTCTGTATCCATAGCTGGCTCCTCGGCCTTGCCGGCACCTTCCTCTGGGCTCATTCTCCTCTCACACACCAGGCCTCTGTCTGCTGTGGCAGCTCTTTTGTTTACTTCCAGGGCTCCAAGGCTCACTACTAGCCAAACACAACGAAGTCAAGCCAGAGAGAATTCTGTTCCAGACTCATTCTGGCCCCTGTGGGACAGGTAATGGCCTCCAAACCAAGGAGGCAGCTCAAAAGAGGGCTGCCTCCTACAGTGGGCTCTTGCTTCAGGTCCTGACAGCCCAAAGGGAAAGGACACAAGACCTGCCCATTGTTGGGCAGGGATCCCTACTCTTGAGACAGCTTTGGCTGGCAGCCCTGGGAATCAAAGACCCAGCTGGAGAGAGGTGGGGAAAATTGTGAGGCCCTCTGGGTGGGAACCAGAGAGTTGGACTTCTCCTGGTTCTTGTGTCTCTCTTTAGCCAGGTAGATAGATTCTGGCCTTGAGCCCTCCACTCTGGAATCCAGGTGCCTAAATTTCCCCACCAGAGGACTGTCCTCTCCAAAAGTTCATGTCTCACAACTCCTCAAAGATTCTAGTGAAGAAAGGGAAGTGAGCATTTACTGTGGGCCAAGTTCCAAGCAGGACGCACTGTGAGGATGTACCTGGCATTTTCTGTCTGTCTGAGGTCAGCAGGGAGATGGGTGATTAGTGTGTAATTATGTGCTTATATAATATAAGATGTAATGGGACTCCACTTCTGACTCTGAGTGCACAGTGAGGCGCTGTGATCACACGGAACCAGAGGGGTCCCAGGCCAGACCAAGCCGGCTCATGCCAGAACAGTGGTCAATGATAGAAAGAGATACCGCCACAGGGAGGAGGAGACCCTTGGCAGCCCAGATTCCTCAGTGGAAAAAAGTAGAGGGCCCAATCAACTCTGTGATCAGGGACAGAGGGGACCCAGGGTTCAGCAAATGCTGGTGAACGAAGCGGAGATGATCTTAAAGGAAATCAAGCCTCCTCCCCACTCTTAAGGCTTCATTTTGGAGACAGTGACGTTGATTAAGGAATGTAAAACTCTAGCTCTTTGCTAGGCCCCAATGGAGCAGAGGAGCTGGGGACCCTTTGGAAGGATCAGTAATGGGGTTAGAGGTGAGCACTGGCCATGACCAGCTGTACTCTCTGCCTCATTCTGCTTCAGTTCCCAGGAGTGGGGGTGGGGTCCAAGCCTGAGAAACAGTTTATACCTGAGACAACCTACCTTCACCCTCACAGTCAGCAATTCTGTAAGGGCCTGGGGCCCCTGGAGTAAACAAGAAATCCACCACAACTTCAGGCATGAAGATTCAGCTTTTTATCTCATCAATGACATATTTTAGTCTAATAGTCTAATAGGCTCATACTCTACCCAAGTCCTTACCCTTCTCCACCAGCCCGGGCAATGAGCATCTAATCTGCCCTACGAGTGGAAAGCCACCAGGCACAAAGGTGACTCAAAGAGGGAGGTTGCACTGTGGCTGTCCTATGAAGCGCTTAGGATAGCACCAGCTCCCCTGGAGAGTCTGGAGACCCAGGACTCTGCCTAGGAGGCCGGGACAGGAGGGATGGTGCCTGAGTCTCATTCACGATCTCCTTTCCTGGGTCTCAGTCCCACTCATAGTTTGTTCTCTGGGTCTAGCCTGCCACTGCCCGTCAGAGGAGCAGAAGGGCAGGAATCTCCAGATGGGGGGCAGTTAGCCCAGATCACACTCAAAGAGTACATCCACTGAAATTCCCTTTCCCGCAGGCTGTTGGGGTACTTCACAGCCCCTCTGTGATTCCAGGAGCATGTGGAGGGGTTCTCTCTGGATGTGCCACCCTGGAAGACAGAGGGCCAGTGCTGCTACCTGCAGCCACAAGATTCCACGACCATGTCCTCGTACTGTTTATACACCACGTTGTTGGCAGAGTCAATGAAGAGGATGCTAATGGGACTCAGCCGTGTGGGCACACAACAAGTAGGTGGTGTGGATTCAGGGTCCATAGAATTCATCAGGGTCTGGATAACTGCATGGTTTGTGGGCTCCAAGTGGGAGCGCAAGGGGAACTCGCATAGTCCTTCGCAATGAAAGGCTTCATACTCAAGGGGCGCAATGATCCAGTCGTCCCAGCCCATGTCCTTGAAGTTGACATGCAAAGCTTTGCGACTGCAACGAGCCTTGAGGTTCTTGCTCGGTCGCTTGCCCTGGCGATTGGCCAGTGGGGCCCGCCGTTTCCGCCGCTGGCTGAACAGGTATTCATACACAGTCTTGTCATCCTGGCCAGAGCGGGCCTTAATCTCATTAAAGAACAAGTCCCGTTTCTTAGTACGACCAAACACCAGGAATAGGGCCTTCTCATGGACCTGTCGAGCAGCACGTTCAAAGCCCAGGCCACGGAGGTCCACAGCCCGGCCCCGTTCCCAGGCCTCCAGCTCCAGGCACAGCTGCGCTGAGTTCTTAAAATTTCGGAAGAGTTTCCAGATGTCGAACACCTCCCAGCCAGATCCGTCCAGGCCTGGCACGGAGCGCACATCCAGCAAAGCTGCCGGCTGCCGACCGCTGGGGCAGCTGGACAGCTTCAGCTGGGCAACCCGCCCGCTACTGGGGACCGCTGGCTTGGCCGTGTCCAAGGGCTTCTTCCGTAGGATCCGCAATTCAGCCCCCAACAGCCCATCCTTCTCCAGAGCACTGATGTCAAACACGTACCTCTGCTTCCTGACCACAGGGCCTCGGTCATCTGGAGAAAACAGCCGGAAGTCAATTCCTGCCACTTCACCAAGACAGCCTGCCACCTCTGAGCCTCCAGGGAGGACCTAACTCTCTCCTACTCAAAAGAGATTTCTCTGACCTCTTCCCCACTATGGCCGAAGCCAACACCCAAACTACCAAGAGCCCTTTTCCAAATGAAGGTAGGTGTGCCGCTTTGCACGTTCTGAGTTCCCTGTGCTGTTCGTGATATGCATGAGAGCCATCAGCCTTATACCGGTGTGTACCCCATCCATGACCCGGCATTATTATGTCCCACATGTGAGACGGGTGGTATGTGCATTTAAACTACTCTTCCAGAGGAGGAGCCTGCAGCTCAGAGTAAGTCAGGGGGCCCATTCAACGTCATCTAACTAGGGGAAAGTAGAAATAGAACTGTAGCCTAGAACTTCCATACTCCTCTCTGAGCCTCCTCCACCTTAAGGATCTTAGCGTTCTTGTTCCAGGCAAGGCACAGAGTTTGGGAGTAAATTGATGTAGGTAACACAGCAAATTAATAACAAAGCCAACCTGCAACTCAACCTCCCTAGTTCCCAGTCTGACGTTTTTGTGTCCATGAGTGTTTCAGTGTGTGTGTGTGTGTGTGTGTGTGTGCGCGTGCGCGCAACCCCCTTGCAATTAGGTTCACAAGTGAGTATAAAGTAATATGTATGCTACTGGCACATGCAAGTACAGTTGGGCTTCAATGAGTACTTGAAAAATGATGATATATGTGTGTATTCATGTGTGTGATTCATTTACCATGTGTGTAAAATATAAGGCGCTGTGTGTGTGTGTGCATGTGTGAAGTTCAGTGGTTATCTCTGAATCAGCATGCCCTCCTTCCTAAATGCCAATATGCCATTAGGGAATATTCAAATATTGCTCTAGAAGGTAACTAATTAGGCTTTTAAACTCTCCATCTCCCCCTCCCCAAGCTCCCTTAGTGCTGGGGGGACACAAGGACTTATTTTATGAGCCCTAGAGGGGTCACAGCTTTCCTTGACTGGGCAAGCAGCCAGGCCACCTCCCCCACCTCTGCCAGACCTGCTGCCTCTGCCCCTCCCCCGCCCCCTGTCATTCCCCCGACAGACCAGCTCTAATGAGGAGCCTCTCCCTCTCTCTGGCCCCTCCCCCACCCTGCCCCGCCAAAGTCCCAAGACTGAGAACCTGAGACTGTGAACCCCAAGACACCTCAGCAACTGCCAGCGTTCCAGCCAGCTCCGCACCGTGGCGAGCCCGAGGCTCTGAGAAGAGAAGGGATTTGCTGGGAACACACAGCAAGTTGAGAGGGAAAGCTGAGCCAGTAACACTAGGTGGGCAGACCTCCAGAGAAGCGAGGAGACGAGTATTCTCCCAGGTTACTGAGGAGAGTGGCGAGCGGCAGGATAGGAATTCGAAGCACTCAGACTTCACCTAGTCCAGTGCCCATGTAGCATACACACAGGAAAATAGACCCCAGGGAAGAAGGGACTCCTAGGGTCACATTGTGAGTTAGTCCGTAGTTCAACTGGGACTCCAAGATGATATGCTTTTGTTTTCCCACATTCTACCCCTTTGCCCCTTCTCTGAGGTTAGAGTTGGATGCCCACGGGGACCTAAAGTTGCTTTCTCTCTACTATCTGAGGAAAAGCTGGGCGTAGAAACTTGGGCGTTGCAACTCGCACAAAAGTATGACCTAGTAATCAAGAGTGGATCTTGGAGTCCAGCATCCAGATCTTAGCTCCTCTCTGCACTTCAGTGCCCATTCTGCACCTTGCGGGAGTTTAACTTGGTGATACCTAGGCGTTCCTAGTGCTGGACTTGGCATGTGTGAGTTCCAGACTCCCACCCTAGGCTGGCTATACACACTATTCCCCACCTGCGAACTCCAGGACTTTGGAACTCCTGGGTCTGTGCAAATGACCCTCCCCGCCACCCCACCCCCTCACCTTGCCCTTTGTCAATAAAGCTGGTGATGGTGTTGGCCAGGCCAGCCTCCAACTTCACGCTGCTGTTGCGTCCCTTTCTGTCAGCATCGGACAGCGTCCTGTACAGCGAGAGCATGTATTCATGGGGTGTGATGGGGGGTGGGCGGAACGGCTCCTTGGGTTCTTGAGAGGTCCCAGGCTCCCTGGTCTTCTTCAGCAGAAAGGAGCTGGGGGCAGATCCTGCTTTTGAGGATGCTTTGCCCCCAGGAAGCTGTCCTTTTGGGGATACAGTCCGTGCTGCAGCCTGCCTAGTCTGGGGAAGGGGTCCTGGCTTAGTTTCAGGCCCACCGGATCTGGGGGGTATCTTTCTGGGTTCATCCTTCTTGGCCTGTGTCTGCCCAGAGCTTCCCTTTGCCCTGGCATTGGTGGGCCCCCCACCATAGCTATGACCCCCTGGCCTAAAGATGTTCCGGGCCAGGGGTGGCCTCTCCTTGGCCTCTGCTTTGGCCAACCCTGGCCTGGCCCCTGGGGGTCTCTGACCTAAATCGGGGGCACCCAACACAGTGCAGATAAATTCCAGGTTCAGCCAAGCCAGGTGCCAAAGCAAAAAAGTGAGGAGTTTGGGGAGTCTCATCCTCTGGTCAGCCGCTGACTGACACCACAGAGAAAGGCAGCCGCAGCGAAGGTGTCTCTAGCTTGGCAGGAAAAACCATGAAAGGAGTGGGGCTTCAGGAGCAGCGGCGGCAGCGGCAGCACCGGCAGGCAGGGCTTTCTCCTCAGTCTGAGCGCCTTGAAGTCCGCCGGGCGTGTGTCTGTATCCAGTCCCATAGTGGAAATGCTCCCGTGTCCAGACGTGCACCGTCTCCAGTCAGCAGCTGAAAATAACTCGTTCTTGAAAGGAGAAAGCCGACCGCCCCCTTTCTCCCGCACAACTGACTGAGGGCTTGAAGGAGGCTTGTATAAGGCTGAGGGATTTTTCCAAGAAGGAAGAATGGCGTAATGCTGCCTGTGCGCTCCAGTTTTTTTCCCCCTCTAATTTTGAATCCTTTCCAGTGAAAATACTTACACACACACACACACACACACACACACACACACACACACACACACGAACCTGCAGGTGCTCAGAAAAATCTTTTACAAACCTGAACTCAGGAATTGGAAACGGAATTCCAACCCAAACCAATTTAATTACTCTCTGATGTCATGCTGTCTAAATTCATTTAAGTGCGATATATTTATGTGAAAAAATCACCACTGCCCTTTGGAGGCCACGGCTCACAGGGGCTCTTGGCTCAGAGCCCCGCAGCGGGACTCAGGCTTAGGGGGCCTCCCCATCCCAGAGCAGACTTAGGGGTCTTCACCTCCACCTCCTGGAGCAGCCCACCCCACCATCCCAAGCAGAGATGCTGAGGAATGAGTTGCAAAGACCTGCAGGCACTAGGCAAGCAGAGTTAGGTTTTCAGTGAAGTCCTGGGAGTGTTTGTAAAGCAGTTTCAATCCCTCTGTCTAGTCTGGGACCTGGTGTGTGTGTGTGTGTGTGTGTGTGTGTGTGTGTGTGTGTGTGTGTGTGTGTGTGGTGTGTTGGGGGGCAGCACAGATGGCAGCATTTACCCACAGTTTCCTTTACTTTAATAAACTTGTGACCCAGAAACAGAAAAAAAAGGAGTGCCCATTATACTACCCCCACCAAATGCCATTTGCTAAGCACTGTCATCCTGTAGCCCCCTGGCTGCAAACAGGTCCAGAGTGTGTGTGCACTCAGGCAAAGACCGCCAGTTTTCTTAGAAGAAATTGGCTGGCGCCAGAGGTGGCAGCCTCAGCCTAAGACAGCAGCGACCCCTGCAGGAGGCTGAAAGAGAAAGTTCTCATGGACTACTTTTCTAGTAGCTGGTGGAGAAAGCTGGATCCCTGCTCAACTCAAGAGTGCTCCTTTCCTCCCTTTTCTTCTTCTTTAGATAAGGTCTTATGTAACCCAACCTGGCCTCAAGTTCACTATGTACCCAAGGCTAGCCTTGAACTCCTTCCTGATCCTACACCTACCAGACCCTGAGATTGCAGGCATGTGCCACCGCCTAGCTCCAAGGGTCTCCGTAAAATGCCTTGCTAAAGTACTTAGGCACCCTTTCTTTGGAGAACCGTGTTATAGAGCCCTGGGAAACTTACTCGGGGTCATGGAGAAGGGGAGCAGCTTCACATGGAATAGCTTCATGCACTGAGAGTGGTGGCGAGGGGATGAAACCCCAGGCCTCGCTCAAGAATAATAGGCAAACACTGCCACAGAGCTCCACCCCAGTCCAGAGTCTCTTCTTTTCCTTCTCTTGACAGTCTCCCATGGCGAAAGCTGGCCTTGGACTTGCAATGTTAGCTGAGGCTTCCCTGGAAGTCCTGATCCTCCTACATCCACCTCCTTGGATACAGCTTGGGATTATGGAACTGTACCACCTACCCTAGCCTTCCTTATTAATCCTCGACTCATGCAGCTGACCTAACAGATCCATTCACACACTTAAGTTGGTTTCTAGAAACTCTCTGCTGGAGTCTAGGCATGTAACTCAGAAGTCCCGTGCATGGTTAGCATGCACAGAGCCCTCACCAAGACAACCCAAACAAAGTCCTCACTCCGGATAGCTAAGTGGCTGCAAGTCTGTTTTCTTTCTTAAAATATTTACTTTGTTTATGTGTATGTGTGGAAAGAGGATGCCAGAGGAAACGAGAAAAAGGTATTAGGTCCCTTGGAGCTGGAGTGGCAGGCAGCTGTGTGTCACCCTGTCATGGGTGCTGGGAGCAGAATTCTGTCTTTCCCCAAGCAGAAAGTACTCTTTTTCATAACGTTGTTCCTGGTTCACTTACTCAGCCACTCCAGGCTTCACTGATAGCTCCAGGTCTGAAGACTGGACTTCAAAGGACCAAGGCACCACCTGCTTTCTTCAGGGAGACTGGAGGATGGCTTGAAGTCATTACAGTCCCTCAGGTCATCCAGGCCCAGCACTGACCTGCCTTCTTTTACCGTCCTCCTTGTCATCTTCCTCCTACAGTCTATCACTGCCCCGATCCTCCTCACTGTAGCTTTTACCTGCTACAACTCCCTTAGAAATGATTTCCTGGCCTCCAGGATCTCTTTGTCCCTACCCCACCCCCACACCGAGAGCCTACCCACTGAGCAGGAGCTGACCCATGTGCCAGCTGCCACACGACACAAAGCCAACCCCTACTCCCCAGGAAAGACATGAAGCTCCCAAACAACCACCACATGCCTGCTGGGCTTCTTTCTGCTCTCAGAGTTCAAATCCACCCAGCCTCAGCCTCTGCCCCCATCTCCAAGGCAGGTCAGATTTTCCAGCCTGTGTGCTTTTTTCATAGTTTTATTTTAACTGAATTCCTTCTGCCTATCATAATTTATGTACATATCTGTCTATCCCATTAGATTATAACTACACTGTACCATATTTGTCTTTCAATTATTCCCAGGGCTTGGCACAGAGCCCAGCATATAGCAGATTCTCAGTGTGTGTTGTATGAATGACTCTCAAACTGGCCCTTTTAAAGAAACATTATGATTTTCTTTTTTATCATTTCTTTTTAAAAGTTAGAATAAATAATGTGTTTCGCTGTGGTGTTTTCATACACTAATATTATTACATTTTGATCTTATTCTCTCCCCTATCTCCTCCCACAACCCAGAGCCCTTCTTCCATGAAAGTATCCTTTCTGCTTTCCTGTTATATCTCTATATATTTAAATATATAAGTTCTGCATATGAAAGAAATAATTCGATGTTCGTGTCCCTGCCCCCATCTCCATTAGCTTCCTGTTCCCACATCTCCCCATGGGTGCCTTCACCCTCCCAGTAGCCACTGATCCTTCTGCTTCAAGCCATATATAAATCTAGATGCTAATATAAAAGCAGGCATGCTCTATTTGTCTTGCTCAGTCTGAAAAGCCATCGTTTTAAACATACCCTGCCTTTTCTACTGGACTCGAGTCCCTAAAAGGGAGAGGTGCTGTTTTGCTAATTTTCCAAGCTCTATCCTCTGGATAAGCAAAGCTATGAACGAGTCGATGCAGACATCCAATGAGTGATTGATAAGGATGGAGGCTCTGCAGGAAGGCCTGGGTTTGATTCTTGGTGGGTATGCTATTTATACATTGTGTGATCCCAGAGAGCCTTCCAAACACTCTGCAACTCCGAGCAGGGGTAATGACAGCATTGTCATACAAAGAGTTCCTGTGGGTATTCAGTAGAATGAATTATTTTAAAAAACCTGAGGAGATGACTGGAGACATGTCTCAGTGGGTTAAAGGTGACTGCCGCCAAGCCTGACAACCTGAGTTTGATCCCCAGGTCCCACCAAGTAGAAGGAGCAAACAGAGCCAACCTTCACAAGCTGTCCCAGTCCCCATCTCTCTGAACACATGCACACATATACACAAAATAAATACTATGTAATTTTTTAAAACTCTGATAAATGTTAATAAGCGCTATGCCTTCTGAGGACACTGGCCTTTGTCTTCCATTACTTTTAAACCCTTACTTCACAGCCTCGCCCCACTCTGAACAATTTTTGCTGACGATCCTCTCAGCCTCCTTCCCTTGTTTTACAGACAAATAAATTAAAATTTTAATTAAAAATTATTTCTTTGTATTTGAGTGTGTATGTGCGTGTGTATGGTGTCCTTAGTAAGGGCCAGAAGAGGGCATTGAATCCTTTGGAGTTCAATTTGTAGACAGTTAATATGGGTGCTGAGAACTGAACTCAGGTCCAAAAGCAGTAAGTGCTCTTAACGGCTGAACCATCTCTCCAACCCAACTTAGAAACTTATTTATTGTTACTATGTGTATGCATGCATAGGTGCATGTGCCCCAACACACACACACTCACACACTCACACACACACTCACACTCACACACACTCACACACACACACACACACACACACACACACGGAAAGGTCAGAGAGCACCTTTGCAAAGTCTGTTTTCTCCTTCTGCCTTTACTTGGGTCTCTGATTAAATTTAGGTCAAGCTTTTGTGGCAAGCACCTTCAACCCCAAGCTGTCTCACTACTTTTGAAGTTCACTTTCTGCTTTTCTGGGCTTTTTGTTTTGTTTTTGTTTTACAAGACAGGGTTTCTCTGTGTAGCCCTGGCTGTCCTGGAACTCACTTTGTAGACCAGACTGTCCTTTAACTCAGAGATCTACTTGCCTCTGCCTCCAGAGTGCTGAGATTAAAGAAGCATGCCACCACCTGGCGAACTTGAACTCTTGAATCTCCTTCCTCTACTCCCTGCATGGTAGGATTGCCGGTGTATGCTGCCACACCCATCCCTTTCCCAATATTTTTAAAATTACATTTAAAATTTTTTAATTTTTATTTCTCTATTTTCCTCTTTCTTCCTTCCTTTCTTTCTTTCTTTCTTCCTTATTTTTGAGATCATGTCTCACTATGTGGCTCTGGCTGCCCTGGAACTTACTCTGTAGACCAGGCTGGCCTCCAACACACAGAGATCTGCCTGCCTCTGCTTCCTCAGTGCTGGGATCAAGGTCTACCTTAAAACTGTATTTCTACCAAAAAAAAAAAGCAAAACAAACAAACAAACTGTATTTCTGCTTGTATGTAGTGGCACACAGAGGTCAGAGGATACTGGGGGAGCTGGTTCTCTCCTCCCACCACATGGGTCTCCAGGACCAAACTCAGATCATCAGGTTAGAGCTTGGTCTCATCCACTGAGTCATCTCAATGGCCTTCTCAACACGTTATGCCAAGAATCTTGCTCTAGAAAGTAGCCATAAGTGATAAGGTGCTGTGGTAGGGGCATTAGGGAATTTAACTTTCAGCCAAGGACTCACCCAGTGGTCTGGAACTTGGAGGACACAGAGGAGTCTCAGAGAGGAGCTATTGTCTGAGGACCAGGAGACTCGCAGCAGTTGGGTAGCAGCAAGGAAAAAAACTCCAAATCTGGATGGAAGGCCCTCTCCAGGGAGGAGCCCAGAGTTCCTGCCTGGCTCTTACTATAAAGGTGACTAATCACTTTGGTCCCCTCTGGTAATTGCAACCAGATGCTGCTGCTGGCTATGCTTCAGTCCCGACATGTTTAATTACTGGGACACAGAGTCTCTGGGTCCCCTGTGGCTCCCTCCCTCC